TGGATCTGCTGAGAGTGCAAGGCATCCTGGCCAGCCTGCGGGTCAGAATCAGCTCAGGGAGCTGTTTAGAATGCAGATTCCTGGGTCCTATCCCGGGAGATTCCCATGCAGCTGCTCTGGAGTGGGCTCTTGGAAGCAGCCCACCTAGAAAGCTCCCCTTTGATTCAGATGCACAGCAAGTTTGGGATTCACTGATTCAAATTATATTTTTAAATCTGAAATTAACAGTAAGAAACATCTTGATCTTAAAAATACTGAATAACTAAAGAGAAATATGAGGCATGTTGGATTATTTCAAAACATTAAAACAACACTAAGAAAGCATGGTACTACTATGCAGATTCCAAGAAGGAAAGCCATCTACACTACGAAAGCAATCAGACTACGAGAAACTAGAGATACCAAAACGACACTACAACACTCACCACCACCACTCAGATGGAAAGCTTTGGTAACTGTCATCTCTCAAAAAGGCTAACAAAACAGTATATGGTCCCTTACTACTCATGATAATATTTTTTAAAATTTTTTAAATTTTTTTAATTTTTTCCTTTTTGTCCCCAAAGCCCCCCGGTACATAGTTGTATATTCTTCGTTGTGGGTCCTTCTAGTTGTGGCATGTGGGACGCTGCCTCAGTGTGGTTTGATGAGCAGTGCCACGTCCGCGCCCAGGATTCGAACCAACGAAACACTGGGCCGCCTGCAGCGGAGCGCGCGAACTTAACCACTTGGCCACGGGGCCAGCCCCACTACTCATGATAAGTATTATCTGCTGCTCATCAATTCAGAAGAGTAGTATCACCACCACTAACTGACTTACAAGCCTTGCTGCCATTGTAGCTTCCTTCTCTGTCCTGGCAGCAGTGGTTTTAAAAGAACTGCCTAGTGGATTTTGCAGCAACTGTTCATTTGTTCATAAAAGTCACAGATGAATATCAACAATACATGAATTCATAAAAGACTGCCCACACATTTTCACCAATTTCATCAAATGATAAGAAAGGAGAAGCCCTCCCCTGGCAAGTATGGGTTCTTCCTAATACAGTAATAAACAGACTGTAATGGCCACTGAAAAAGATTTTGAATTTGAAAACCTCTTTTTGGTGTTAACTCTAGAAAACAAATATGTAAGAATGGGCCTTCTGGAATTATTAAAAAAAAAAAAAGAATGGGTTCCAAAAGTACTTTTTCTTGTTACATCCCCTGTCCCCAAAGACACAAGAGACACTAGCAGCACTGGGAATGGTTCTTCATCGTGAGGACTCTGCCCACTTCTCCTTCCCTCCAAGTGAGTAAGTGTCACTCCCAAACCACTCCAGGGCCATCGCGTGCTGCCTCCCTCCACTTAATGCAGTTGCCCCCAACCCCACACACCTACCCAACTCCAAACCTCCTGTTTATTCCATCAGACTTCTCCTTGGCTGCTGCCTCAAACAGGGAACTCCTTCCACACTGCCCAGCCAAATCCCTCTCTCAAAGCACTTGGCCCTCATCTTTCTGCCAGGGATTCTCTTCTCTCTTACACAGCTTTAATATTTCTCTTGCCACTAGATGGACCAAAGCCTCCTCACCCAGTGGTTTTATCTGTTGCATCTCTAGCCTAGCCACAGAAGGCATTTGCGTATGTGAATCTTACATTCACACCTTCTTATTTCCACATCTGAAGTTACCACAACTCCTTTGTCACTCAACAAGTATCTTATTAGAAGACACCAGTGTGTGCTAGGTACTGGTAGAGAAAAAGGGTAGAAACAGAATTTTAAGACATCCTCCCCACTCCCAATACACCGACTTTCTAAGAGAGAGACAGAGGAAGATAATCATCTCCATAAAATGTCTGAAACAACTGAATGAAGTGTTTCTCAAAGCGAAGACCAAGAGGGCCCCTTTCTGCCTGAGGAAGGTAACACCTTTAAGTGGGCTTGACCCAAAATGCAGCTATTTTCACACTGCTGTTTCCTGTCTCATCCCCTTCCAATCTACTTTGCCCATGACCATCTGGAAGACCACTAAGACACGTCACTCTGGCGCTAAAAGACCTGCAGCAGGTCTCCACCTCCACATCAAGGCCAGGGGTGCCTGATGAGCACTGAGGCTCTCTGAGCTAGTCCCAGCCTGCCTCTGCACACAGCTCATCCACACATGAGCACATCAGCTCTGGCCAATGGAGACTCTGTGCAGTACATTCCAGACAGCCTGGAATTTCCTGCCTCTGCACTTGCTCACGTCACCCCTGTTGCCAACGTGTGGCCACCAAATATGGCTGTTCAGTGCACAAACTGTGCAGCTGTATGTGGCGGCCCTGTCTATCTCCATCAAAACACTTTCCATTTTAGGGGATTATAGGTGATTTTTAAAAAGTATTTTCTGCATTTTCCACAATGGACATAAATGACAAAAGTTGAGGGAAAAAATTTGCACATGGGAAAAAGAATTCATTATACTCTTTAGAATAGCCAAACATGAAGGCTACTTTCTCTAAGAAGCCCTCTCTAAGTTACTCATCAAGAAGCAATCTGGATTCCTTAGTCTTAAGACTTTGGACTGTTTTATGACTTTACACACGTGCCTTCCTGAATCTACAGCTGTACCTTTACCTCTCTCATACCTAGTATATGTCAGGCATCGTATGAGGGGTTTTACTCATGTTGTTTCATTTATTCCTCACTGGAGGTTGCTATTACCATCCCCACATTATAACATTCCCACATTATAAGGAAGCCGAGGTTGAAAAACTTGCTCAAGGCAAAGAACTAATCTATGGTTCCTGCAAGTTTAAATTTAAATCCAATCTAGTCTGGCTTCAAAATCCTTAACTCCAAAATACTTAGCAATTGACTAACTGCCTTTTCTAATACTAGCCTCTGAGAATTGTTCTTTTTTTTTTAAAGATTTTATTTTTCCTTTTTTTCCCCAAAGCCCCTCGGTACATAGTTGTGTATTTTTAGTTGTGGGTCCTTCTAGTTATGGCATGTGGGATGGCGCCTCAGCATGGCTTGATGAGTGGTGCCATGTCCACGCCCAGGATCCAAACCAGCGAAACCCTGGGAAGCGAACTTAACTACTCAGCCACTGGGCTGGCCCTGTGTCTGAGAGTCTGAAGCAGGGAGACAATATCTTATTCATCTTTGTACTCACTCTGGTGCCTACCCCAGGTTCTCACCCAGAACCTTTTTATGATTACATAAAAGATTAATTCCTTTGGAAAAAATGGTGGAAGGTTGATTATGATGGTGTGACTCTTAAAACAACTGCTGTCCCGACAGCAAGTCCTGGAGGTTCTAGGTTTAAAAATGTATCTCAAAGCTATGTGGTCTCCAGCTCTCCTGCCCCAACTCAGCCTTAGTCTACTATCTCTTGCCTCTGAACTATTCTCCCTGCTTCTACTCTTCTCCCACAATCTATTCTCAGCAAATCAACCAGTGAGATGGGCCTGCATTGTTATTAGTGTTATTAGTTGAGTGGATTCTGACTCCTAGCGACCCTGTGTACAGCAGACAGGAACACTGCCTGATCTTTTTGTGCCATCCTCTCACCTTCCGGCGCTGTATCAGATAACACTGCCATTCATAGGGTTTTCATAGCCAATATTTTCATAAGTGGGTGGCCAGGCCCTTCTTCCTAGTCTGCCTTAGTCGGGAAGCTCCGCTGAAACCTGTCCACCATGGGTGATGCTGCTGGTATTTGAAATACCGGTGGCATAGCTTTCAGCATCAAGCAACACGCAGTCGCCACACTATGACAACAGACAGACAGGTGGTGGTGTTCCCTGACCGGAAAATGAACCTGTGCTGGGGAAGTGAGAGCGCCAAATCTTAACCACTAGACCCCCAGGGCTGGCTGGGCCTGTCTTACTCCCTTACATAAACCCTTCAATGCTCCCAAACTTCTTCTTACTTGGCCCTACAAGGCCGTGCCTGATCAAGGTCCCTGCCTACAAGGCCAGACTTCTCCAGTTTTTACTTCCCTTCATTAACTACCTCCAGCCACACTGGCCTTCTGCAGGCCTGGGCACCAGCTCCTCCCTCTGCATCAAGTGCTCTTATTTTAGATTGTCACTTGGGTGGCTCCCTCTAATCACTTAGGACTCAGGTCACCAGGGTCCCTTCCTCAGAGGTTTTGCTTACACATTCTATCTCAGGTTTGCATTTGTAGTAGTGAGGGAACAACTTGCAGTTATTTAGAAAATATGTCTATTTAGTTTTGCCTGCCTTTCCAGCTAGATTTTAAATTCCATCGAGGTAGGACCCATATTACATCTCCAGTGCCTGAAACAAGGTGGGCACTCAAATACTTCTGAGTTGTTATTGAACTGGCTATAAAACTAAGTTTTATGATCAGAATTTTATCTTAAACACTTTAGGTAGCATTATGACAATACTACCTAAATGCTATCCAAAACCTTATTTGGATTCTTCCACGATTAAACACCCAGATAACAAGCTTGACGCCTAGAAGCCCAGGGATGGCTTAGGGGTTCATGAAACCCCTGAAGTCACAATGCCTCCTTCTAAGTACATGTGCATTTTGATGGGGAAAATGTCAGAGCTTCTCCATATTCATAAATTAGAACGTAGATCAAGACAGACTTAGAACTACTGAACAGCCTGGAAGTTTCAAAATCACATTTCCTTTAAAACAGCCATGTCTCCATACTTTGTATGTTATGTATAGCCTTGCCATCCACTAAATTCACACCATGGGATCTAGAAGGAAACAAACCTTTTACTATACTGACGCAATATTTCAAAAGCAATTTTATAAAATACATTTTTCCCTGTCTAATTTCAATAAAAATCAGAAAATGCACATCACTTACAATAAAATTCAGAAAAAAACCCCAACATCTGACAGGCATTAACCCATTCGACGAATTAGAAAGCCTGCTTCCTGACAGGGGGAGGGATATTATATCCTGCCTGTGACGTCACTGGCCTTCAGTTTAACCCTGCTTTACCCTGTACCCTCTAATAATGATTTTTAAATGGTTAAGCACTTACCATAATGTGATTGAAATGCCTGCGGTTTGACAACCTGATTACAGTCGTTACACACCACCAAGTAGAAATCATCGTGGGCGGGACAGAGACCAAATATTGGCATGTCTGCAACAGAGAAAGAAAGCATCACTCGCTCATCTGGTTCTGATGAACACGAAACCATTTAGGGTGGTGATACTTTCTAGAGGAGCTGCCTTTTGATGAGGTGCACCAGGACAAATGTTACTCTAGGTTAAAAGTAACTGATGTGGCACATCATGACTATTAAGAGAGAAAGCAAATCAGTCAGGCTTACAGAAACACCTATTACAAAGGGTTAAAATAAAACGCACCAAAAATCATTAGCATGAGGACAAATAGACAAATCTATTAAAATACAAACAATGAATATATTCACACAAGAAAGCAACTTTAGATGAACTTTACCAAGGGTTATGGGGAAGAATCTGCAACCACATACAATGCTTAGCAATTCACAAAGCTGAACCATCTAATGGTTTTATTTGTTTAACTATGCATTCTATTCCGGCCATCTGGTCTCTGAGTTCTATGGAACAGTTAAGAAAGGAAGCAGAGGTTTCACTGAAGAGTAAAACTGCTGGTTTCATCAGCATGTAATACAAAGAAAATTATTTTTATACTCTTTTTTCAGGTCACAACAACTTCTAGTCCTTTTGCTTACATACTGATGCAAGTGGACAGATGGAACCTCAGTACACACACAGTATTTCATATATTTATCTCGGCTACTAGAATAGGGTAAGATACAAATTGGATTTTTTATAGTAAGAAGTTAACTTAAAACACAAATGTGAAACGAAACTATCTGCATAGACGTGAAAACTGAAAGTAACTTGATAGCTGATAATATATGGTTAACTAAAAAGTCCTACCATGAACAATTAATTATTAACAACAATGCAGGGAACAGAGCTAACAGTTCAGATCCAGAATCTAAATCTTTTAAATATTTCAAAATTGGTGATTTTAAACAAGTATTTTACACTATGCACTACATGGAATATCTGCAATGGACAGATAATTAGCACATTTCAATTAGGCAAATATTTTGGTAGACCAAATACCAAGTTTAAAGGAGGGGAAAAAAGATCCAAAAAGCTAATTAGCATCTGCTTTCTTTCCTGTAAAATTTAATTTCACACTTTCTCCAGCTTGGGTGTTCTTAGTGGTTTTAAAGGAAAAAGAAAATGCCCAGAGGAGATGTCAAGTAATGATAATCTCTAAAATATCAAATTACTGATCTAATGTCTACACAAGGTTATAGCTCAGATTTTCTTAAACAGTTTCTATTACACTGAACTTCACAGATAGCTAGCTATAAATCTGAAATATACCAGGGACCAACCTGATTCTGGGATGTGGTAGCAGCATTGAGCAGTTTCTATGTGCTATGATCTCATTCTATCCTCACATCCGCTGAGGCAGATATCAGTATGACCTCACTCTAAAGAGGAGGAAACTGATCCACAGAGAGATGAAGTACTTTGTCTAAGTCAAGAGCTGAGATCTGATTCTGACTCATAATGATGGCTTGAATTTGGTCCCTTGAAGACCAGAGGAATATGATTTCTAGAAATTCCTTCCAGATTCCAACTTCAATAAGTTAGAATGTCAGGGCTGAACACCTTTGGCTGCATAAACTGATTAGACAAACATAAGAAGCTTCTAGTAGACTGCTGACTTCTGTGACTAAGCTTAATAATTTAATGAAAAATAAGAGCCAAACAATGTGCTATTTTCCTTGAGAGCATGCCCACATTGAGTTAAAAATAGTACATGTGGGGGAAAGAGAAAGGTTATATCCATACAATGATCAACATGTAATAAGCCATTTTCTATGGCTACGGTTTCTTGCCATGACATTTCATTAATAAAAATAAAAATTTAGGAGCCTGCCTGGTAGTGGAGTGGTTAAGTTCATGCACTCCACTTCAGTGGCTGGGGGTGTGTGGGTCTGGATCCTGGCCATGGACCTATACACCACTCATCAAGCCATGCTGTGGTGGCGTCCCACACACAAAAACAGAGCAAGATTGGCACAGATGTTACTCAGGGACAATCTTCCTCACCAAAAAAAGAAAAGAAAAGAAAAGAAAGAAAGTAAATTAAAAAATAAATTAAAAAAAATTTAAAGTAGTTTACGTTAAACTACTTTAAATTCCATATATACCTGTGCTAAACCCCTCCAATACAGGACAATTAAAAAGGAAAATCTGAATTCCAGAAACAGTGTAACATTCATAATTTACAACTGGAAAGCATGAAATTCCTATGAATATCAAATCAACAGTTTGATTAATGAATCAACTCAATTAGTTTTATTCATTAAACAGTAGTTAAAACAGCATTAAATTAAGAGGTCTCATTTTAGATTTAGGCCTCTGCCATGTGCTGGTTTTTGTGGTTTCCCACAGCACTCAATATCAAACAATGCTGTTTAAAATACATGACTTTGCCAGATATGAGATATTTCTGGGGACTAGCCCCCTGACCCTTTTATAAATAGTGCAATCTAAAAAAATTAAAAACTATACCAATCCTTTTAAGTAATAAGAATTCAATTGACCACAATGATATTTATATAGAAAACTGTTCTTTCTTTGCTTTGATTCCTTTGATCCTTTTGTGAGACTTAGAAACACTAATAAAACTGAGAGAGTAGGGGTCATTCTGTAAGGGATTAGGAATCTATACTTCTGTAAAAAGTTCAATGGCCTCAAAACTTCAGATCATCTGCAACTGATGATGACAGTAATGATGCTAATCATAATGATAAACAGTTGGCATTTACAGAGAGACTACTATGTGCCAGGACCGGTGCTAAGCACTTTTTATATGGTTCATTTATATGGTACAATATAACACTCATTTTACTGATGGACATGTGAACTTTCTAATATCACCCAGCAAGAAAGCATAACCAGGACTCAAACTCAGGTTTGCACTATTTGCGAGTTCAGTTCTTAATCTCTCACTAGCCTATCACACCTCCCTAAAAAGCCTGCATATGTGTGCGTGCACACACACACAATTCCTGTGGAAAGAAAGATGGTATACTTAAATCCAGTTGATGTCTCCCTATGAAATCAAGTTCCTGTTATGAAAATCTACAGAAACTTTAATTTTAGCTTTCTAAATTCTTTATTTTCAGATATCCATATTTGGAAGTAAGCCAGAGGATACAAAATAATTTAAATGTCTTCTTCAGCAGAAAAAAAGATAAAGGAGTTCTATAACCTTTTTCTGCACTGGGACATTCCAGAAGCCCTAGCAACAGGAAAAGAGTGTGGAATGTTGTGGCAACAGAGAAAATGAAATATTTTTTGTGAGAGACAGTATGTAGGTTTCTGAATATTTTTAAAGCTAACGTTCACAATCAGCCCATGTACAAATTAATATATGGAACTTGCCCAAATGTAAAGCTTGATTGACAACAGAAAATAAAAGAGTTGATAAAAATGAGTTCCTACTGAATTAACAAAAAAAAATGTTTACAAGATACACTTTAAATATGCAACTTAAACCACTATATACTTCAAAATAATGAAAAGTTTTAAAACTGTACTTGACCCCATGGACTCTGAACTAATTTGAAAGAATGAATTTTATTGCATGTAAGCCCTAAATCTTTCTCAGGATTCAGGTCACCCCGATCTCCCAATTATGACGTGGTCCAGCATCCACATCTAGGCCATTGTGTACTTTGGAGACCCCAGGCCTGCACAGTAGGAGAGATTGGGTTTAAGTACATGGGCACGTGAGCACATGTGTGCAGAAACTCCACAATCACAGAAGGAATGAAGGCTCTCTCCTTGAAACCAGACCCTGAACAGAAGCGAACGTATTCAATTACTTTGGTGCTGCTATCCCCATTCGGAGGTCTGTACCCAACAACAAAAGTTGAGGGTTGTAGCAAAGCATTTCACCCTTGCCACTCCCAGGTGTCTCCCTTCTCCCACAGTCCCAAACGTCTACATGCCAATGACTCCCACGTTTCCATCTCTAGACCAGATGGCTCCCGAGCTGTCTAGACTCACATATCCAACTGCCTACTAGACATTCCCATCTGGATGGCTTATATACATCTCAAATGGAACAAGCGTGCCCAAGAGAACTTCACTTCCCACTCTGTCCTGTTCCCCACCCCCAAAAACCTTTTTGGGTAAATGATAGCACTCATGCCCCCAATTGCTCAAACTAAAAACCCAGATATCATCTCTGACTCTTCTTTCCCTCATCACATCCAGGCCACCAGCGGGTCTAGTCAGCTCTACTCTAAAACCTGTCCAGTTCTCTCTGTTATCTAGGCCACTGCTCTAAGAGCCCGACACCACCACCTTCTGATGGACTATGGAAGAGTCTCCTAAGTGCTCTACAACTGCTTCCATATAGCTGCCACGGTGAATCTCTGAAGTCCTCCACAGATCCCGTCATTACTGTTAACATTTCTCCAGTGGCTACCCACTCGTCTCAGAGCAGAATCCCAGCCTTTACCATAACCCCCAAAGCCCTGCCAGATGTTCATCTAGCTCCCTCATCGCCCTCTCACTATGTTCTCTTATTCCCTGCTCCTCTCTCCTTGGCCCACTCTGCCCCAGGCACAATGACCTCCACTCTCTCCTTAGACCCAGAAAGATCTCTCACCCAGGCTTGGTGCATTCTTACACATCAGGTCTTGGCTCAGGTGTCATCTCTTCAAAGGGCTGCCCCTTCCCCATCCTCAATTAGTTATTCTGTATCACAGGTATTTAAGCAGAGTGGCTAACAGTGAGTCACTCCCTATCACTCTGAATCCAATGAGACCTTGGGCAAGTTCTATAATGCTTTGAACTTCAGTCTCTTCATCTGTCAAATGGTGATGATCACAATACCTAATTTACCTGGCACTTCACAAGGTAGAAAGATTAAGAAAGTTAATACAGGGGCTGGCCTTGTGGCATAGTGGTTAAATTCACGCTATCTGCTTCAGCAGGCCTGGGTTCACAGGTTTGGATCCCGCATGCAGACCTAGCACCAGTCGTCAGCCATGCTGTGGTGGAATCCCACATAAAATAGAGGAAGATTGGCATAGATGTTAGCTCAGG